TTTACCCAGACAGGTGAAAAGGAAGAAGGTAAGGCCAGATAGTGCCCTTTTTAAAAAACTGAGGTAAAATTCACACGACATTTACCATGTTAGCCATTTAAAGTGTGCAGTCTGTTGATATTTAGTACATTCACGGTGTTATGCAACCATCAGCACTGTCTAATTCCTGGACATTTTCATCACCCTAAAAAGAAATCCCATACCTATTAAGCAGTCACTTCAGATTCCTCTGTCCCCCAGCTCCTGGCAACCACTAATCTTTCTGCATCAGTGGATTAGCTTATTCTGGCCATGTCATATAAATGGAATCTCATAGTATGTGGCCTTTTATGACTTGCTACTTTTCACTTAGCATATCTTTTCAAGGTTCATCCATGCTGTAGCATGCGTCAACACTTCATTCCTTTTTATGACTGAATAATATACCATTGTGTGGATATACCACACTTTATTTATCCATTCATCCATTAACAGACATTTGGGTTGTTTCTACCTTTTGGCTATTGTGAATAATGCTCCATGAGCATGCATGTACATGTGTTTATTTGTATACCATGATAAATTATAAAATATCTCTCCTACCCCCATTCTGAACTCCTTTTTTTCTAACAATTTTGTCTGAATTTTCAATTTAGAAGTTGATTACAAATATATTATCAAAATAACAATGTTAAACATTCAGAACCATTTATTCCACTGAATTTGTGGGACTTTGCATTTTAAAAATGAATTAGATTTTCATGGAAAGTTACAAGTTAAAAAAAATTCTCTATTAAATCTTCCTGATTTTGTTCCCTGATGTTAGCGGCTAGCATTCTGCATAGTTCTTGAACTATTTATGTGTGAAGTGATTTCCAGAAACCATGGGAACCTCCACTATTGATTTGAACAGGTAGAGACCCTGCTCTCCTTACCCAGGAGGTCGTTGCTCATTGAAGAAATAGACGTTCTCATCATCTGAGGGTGAAACTTCAGTGCATTTTTACTTAGACCCTTTGATATGATCAGTATACTAATGCAGTGCCATTCTTCAGTTGTTATTTTAAAATAGGCCTACAAAAGCTTGATGTTTAACCTTTTATGTTTCTCATTTCTGTGGGAAGATGAATTCTGAATTTCAACTGATTTGGAAATTTTTTTAACTAATAAAGGACTATTGCTATTGAATTGCCATTTTACTCTACATTTGTATTATCGTATTTCTATGCCTAAGTCTTCTCCCTTCCCCCACCCCTTTTGTCTCCACTTTCTGTCACAAGAAGCAAGCCACCTGTGTCTGAGGTTGCCAAATATAATTTGACCTCTCTTTACAAGTATTCAGTAGGTGGAATATTTACCCCCATGAAAGTTAATCCTGTGTTCTTCGGTTTGATAATACCATTATTCCCCCTTCCCCAACCTCCAATTTCAGAATTAGAAACGGTGGACATTTTTAGTGTAGTCTGAACTTTTAAACAAAAATGCCGTTAATGGCAATATGCTAGTGAAAAACCAAGGGCAAACTTTTCATAGGCTTGGTTTGTGTTGTATATACTAGCCCTTTATCATCTGAAGAATGTTTAGTTTCTTTACATTTAAAACTAAAATCTAAAAATATTGTCTGGTTCTTATAGAAATATTGTTTTAACTGCAAAATACCCCTGCAAGGTTCAGGCGACGTTCTCTTTTTTTTTTCTAAGCTCCTGTTTTGGACTAAACTCCTCGAGAGCAAGGACTGAGTTATATCTATATTATATATATATTAAATGCCCTATGGTGGTGAGCCCAGTAGCCTACAAATAACAAGTACCATGTCTCAGTAACAGGTTGTTAAAATTGTTTAAAGTAGTCAATGAGATATAGATGTGAAATCCCAAAGTGAGATGCCAGATTATCACATACACATATTCAAAAGAAAAGATTGAGAACATGTTCCATAATTCTGTCTTCTTACCCTAAACCTAGAGGCTGTGGGGAGGGTCACAGGTCACTCCCCCATATAGAGATGCATCCACCTGGATCATGGGAACTATAGGAGAGAGCACATGAAAGCCACTCCCAACCCCTAAGATAAATATTTAAGTTATCTTTAAACTGCCAGTCCCAGAGAGCTCAGAGAATATAAGTTCAAGAAGAAATTTTCTGTTCCCATACCACTCCTCCTTCCTCCCCATGCCCTTCAGAAGAATTAAAAACTAACTGACAAACTTGGGGAGGAGGGTACTACTTAAAGTGGAAGCATAAAAGTTGGACAGATACCTGATGTCTCCCTTCCTCAGTTTAGACTTCTAGCCTAAAAAAGTTCCTAGTTGAGTGAGGAACACCTGATTTTGTACTCTATCAGGTTTGGGGGTTTAATTGAGCCCTGGTCAGAGTGGGGAAGAGAAGAGATTCATGAGTCTGGGTTAGTATACTGTATTTGAAATACCCTTGAGCCATCTAGGAGGAGAAAGTACAGATAGGTGAGCAGCTGTCTACAGTTGGTGATTTAAGTGATGCCTTGGATATGGGTGGAATCACCTAGGGACAAAATCTAGAATGAAAAGATGAGAAAATCTAGCAAACTTGGTGTCTGCTTTGAGGAGCTCTTAAGTTCTGTTTAAGCATTATATTGCATGTCAGATTATATGTACTTTTTTAGGTATGGAAAGTATGTATTATAGCTTCAAAGTACATAGACAGCATAGCTGTTTCTGTCTTTGTTTTCACACGAAAGTTGTGGATTTTTTGTACCTAGACACAAAAATGACAGTTTGGATTTCAAGCTGAGCTAGTTATAACTATTACTAATTTTTCAAAACACTATCAAAAATACGGGTATGAACTTTGAAGGCTTCTTTGCTCATACAGCAGTACTTCAGGCCCTTTCACTTGCTTGGAAAATAAATTGCTACTTCTCTGACAGATATATATGCACAGCTATCTCTAATGTTTTAAGAGGAATCTGTAGGAAGTCATCTGAGTACTCTTTCTGTACTACTTCAGTCCCCTTCCCTAAAAACATTAGTTATCTGTGTGTGGGTCTTTTGTTATTATTTCAAAATAGTGTCAGAAGCGATTTGGAGAGATTTAATATATTTGAAACTGCTGGTGCTTAGATATTTGAGGAAATCAAGTTTTGGAAGTCCATTATTAGAATTAAATATCAAATCAGAAATTAACTGAAGGTAATTTGTAAATTAACATGCCAGAGATACACAACATGCAAGTAATCACATATGGTTATTTTTGTCTTTTACTCCCAAACTTGAACTATAAATTTTTTTCTAGTAATTATACAAATAAGGAAATAAACTTCAGTAAATGTGGAGTTCAGTGACTTGAGTTAGAAATAATTTTTAAATTTTATTTTAAGTTAGTCAGATAACTTAGTACTTCTAATTTCTTTCTTTATAAGTGGGGTTGAAGGCAGAGCACATGGAAAGGTATACTTCGCAGGTTTTATTGCTGTTCTTGTTAAACTTACTAATTCTGCTGTTTAGCAAAATGAAGCAGGTTTGTTTTTTTCCTTCTGTACACTGTGCTTCCATATATTATTAAAATTTATATTTGATTTAAAGTTAATAATACACAATTTGCTCTTAAATCAAAGATAATTTAAAATATTGAGTGGTTCAACAGAATATTAAGTTGTAATTCCTGAAAACTATACAGTTATATTTGAATTAAATATTAAGTAATGCCATCTAGTGGTAACATTTCCAAGTTTAGTGAATTTGAAAATTTGGTATCTGCTTTACTAAATGTGGACTTCAGAATTTATCAGCTAGGTATACTATATCATTAAAAAGGTTTCTGGAAAACAGTTTAACCTAAGGGTTTTTCCCTTTTTGGTGGAAAATGAAGGCTCTTTGGTTATGTTCTAAAGATCCTTTCTACAAAGTGCTAATTGAAACACATTATTATTCTTTATTGTGATAATTAGAGCCACACCTATTACCTGTAAATAATAAGCACTGGGAACAAAGTAGGCTTAATAGTAAAACAGAATGTTAACGTTTATTTAGTTATAACCTTTTCCCAGTCTATTCAGGGGCTATTATGTGCCAATAAATGAGTAAGACTCAGGTAACTGCCCTTAAAGGCACATGATTGGTTGTTGGTCTCTGTGTTTAGAATATTTCAGAAGTGTTGACCATAGACAGCCTTCTTATTGAAAATGCTGATCTGTGTGAACAGACTCAGGAATCTGCATTTCAGACAAAGGCCTTTAAGTTTAAAAAATTATGTTATATTCTATACAAAGTTTGAGAATTATGGTATATTCTATACAAAGATCATATGTTTAAATCTGTTACTTATGACCTTAGAAAGCTATATGTATAAATTTAACTCATATATGTAAATGTTAAGCATCTGTTAGGGAAGGAACAGATAAAATCAGCCATACCTTTAAGCTTCCAACATGCTCCTCAAAAATAACAGCAAAGAGGGCCTCCCTCGTGGCGCAGTGGTTGAGAGTCCGCCTGCCAATGCAGGGGACACAGGTCCTGCCCCAGTCCAGGAATATCCCACATGCTGCGGAGCGGCTGGGCCGGTGAGCCATGACCGTTGAGCCTGCGCGTCCAGAGCCTGTGCTCCGCAACGGGAGAGGCCACAACAGTGAGAGGCCTGCGTACCGCAAAAAATAAATAAATAAATAACAGCAAAGAGACAAGCTGAAAACAAGCTGAAGTGGTGTGGTACTCTTTCCTAACTCTTGGCATTATTGTAATGCTTAATATTATTAACATCTTTTAACAAAGCAAATGTAATATCCTGAATATCTCTTACTTATTATCAAATAGTACATTTTGCTAAATGTTTAAAAAGGACATTTACATAAGCTGTCACTGCCCTGTTTTTGTCTCCAGCTATTACTCCTATTGGATGTTACCCTATCATTAAACAAGTTTCCCTCATTATTGAAGTTACCTATGAAATTAACTTGAAATATTATTTGCCTCTGAAGTTACTGATAATACTCACATATTAATCTGGTACTCAGACTTTTCATTTATAAAGTAATTTTCTCCTCCTAGGTATTTGGAGTAGATGACAATCAAGATTATAATAGGCCTGTTATCAAAGAAAAACATAAAGATCTGGTAAAAGATTGGGCTCTCAATTCTGCTGCAGTAGTAATGGAAGAAAGAAAACCACTGAGTACACCTGGATTTCACAGCTCAGAGGTATACACATCTTTCTCATATTTTTTACACGCACAAAATATAAATTTTTATCATTTGTAATTACAGCTGACCCTTGAACAACACGGGTTTGAACTGCGCAGCTCCACTCACACACAGATTTTTTTTCACTAGGTACATACTATGGTAGTACATGATCCATGGTTGGTTGAATCCATGGATTGGGGACCATGGACACAGAGGGCCAACTGCAAAGTTATACATGGATTTTTGACTACATAGAGGGCTGGAGCCCTTATTCCCCCCACCCCCCCACCTTTGTTCAAGGGTCAACTGTATATTATTATAAACAATTGATATATCCTCTTGTAAAATACTTTAAATTAATATGCTTTTGTCAGTGAGTGAAAATGTTAAATTTCAGTAAGCAATTAATGAGCTATATGCTCACTAATTGACATTATGAAATAAGGCAAAAAAATATACACTGCATATACTTTCTAGGAGGTCATGTATTTGGAATGGGAAGATCTGTCATGCCAGGAAACATGTGTATGGTAGTGCCTGATATATATAACTTATAAACCTAAATAAGTGCCCTTGTAGTGCAGCCCAGGATGTAACTAGAATAATGTGAAATTAATTAAGGGTGGCTTGGTTAAGGCAGTTTTGGAGTCAGTATAGTATAGTAGAGCTTCTAGGACCTGAGTGCAAATCCCAGAACTGCCACATTTAACAGAATACCTTTGAGTCAGTCATTTCCCCTCTCTCATCTTCAGTTTTCTCATCTATACAAAGGGCATTTTTGATAACACCTATTTACAGGGAAGGATATGAAGCCTGGAAAGTACCCAGCATCGTAATTGTCTGAGATTTATGCAGTCAACAAATGTTTATTCCCTTAACAGAAATATTAGAATTTCATTCTACACTGATATGTCGGAAAGAAGTGTTAAAAAAGTATATAACTGAGAATTATTAATTAATTATAATTTATTCAACTAACAAGATCTAACATTCAGTGGACGCTTTCTGCGTACCATTTTACAAATAATGAAACTGAAGTATGTAGAAATTAATTTGGTCAGTGTCTTAAAACTAGTACCTTGTAGAGCCAGAATTTGAACCTCAAGGAGACTTGATTTCTTAACTCATTCTCTTATTCATATATTGCCTTTCAGGAAATGAGTTAATTTAAAATATACAAGTAGTAAATAAATGTTGAATATAAATAAAACCTTAAGATAGAAATAAAATAAAATATAAATGAGGTATTGTATTTGTGTGAAATGTAACTATTCTTTATAGACAACTAAATACACATATATTTTTGCTTATTAATGTAAAAATTTTTCCTTTATGGCCTGCTATTTCCTGAAAACTGTCAAAACAGTTACTGTATTTTAGTATTCTTTTTTCCTCCTTCATCTTAGAGAATTTTTATTTTGATTTCTGTTTTACGAGATGCGTAATTATTGAAAGCGAGTGATGCTTACTTGAAGCAATGTTTTAGTATTCTGATTAATCTAGAAAGGGTGCTGGTGATTGTGAACTTGTAGGACTTCCTCTTCTCCTCTCTGTCCCCTCAGCCCATGCCAAGTAAATTTATATATAGCCTGAGTATGTACCTGCCTTTGAAGGAGTCACCTAAACAAGCCATTAGAACAATCTGCACGAATGAGTCTACATAAATGTGTGTCTTTGAAACCCACCCTGTTGTGGGTATTCCTAGCATGATTTGTACTGGTACTTCCTTCAGTCTCAGAACTGTGAGCAGCCCCCATGAAACCTTGGAGGAAATTCAAAGATTCAGCAGATTTTGGTACCCTTAGGCTTCACTGTATGTATGTCACTATGTGTACAACTTACTATTTTAATCTATTATTCTTGAAATCGTATAGTACATAGTCTGTATGAAATATTTATCAGTTTCTAGCCTGTCATTTGACACTTTTAATATTGTTTTGAACAATTCAGAATAAAATTTGGTCAGAGCTTTCCATTCCTTAGTTGTCATTACAGGTTCAATACTAAGCATTGGCTTAAACTTTCAGTGAGGAAACATTTTTTCTATACTCCTAGATCTTCCATATTAAATGCCTAGATTGACCTAGTCTTAAGAATTACCAGTATACATCCATAAGTCTGTGGAAGCCTATCATGAATTAAATTCGATTTCACAGTTGACTAAGTACTTGCCTTAAGGACAGATGTAGCCAGGGGCAGGTCTAGGTTCAGACTAGTTATACAAAAATCCTTAAAGGTTGAGTCATTTCTGTCTTCTTCTGGAAGTACTAAAGTGCCGTAGAAAGAAGCCTAAAGCTTTGCATTTGTTTTTGAAATCCCTGAAGACATGACCTGGGAGATTTAATACTCTTTGAGACTCTGGAACCAATCTGATTCATGGAAACATTTAGAGGGCTGGAGAACAACTTAGAAATAGGTCTTTAAACTCTCTGTTCTGTAGAATGGAGTAGAATTAACTTCACTGTGGTAGCCACAAAGCTATTGTAGTACACCTGAGTTTATTTAGTAGCAGTAAATTTTTAAGCTCTAAGAGTTTATTTTAGTACCATTGTTAGTACTTAATAAGTACAGAATATTATAGTACATTCACAGTAATAATGTTGTAGTTAAAAGAGGAGCCTAGAAAATCTTCAATTTATATATGAGGAAATTTAGTACATGATAATATATCAATGTGAAGTTTAAATATTGCTTTGTATGATAGGTTAAATGGAATTTAATGACTAAATGGAATTCTCTGAACACGAGAATCGGATTTGACCAGACTAGGTCATTGCATTCTCTTATTTCTCTCCTTTAGGAAGGCACATCTTCATCTGGAAACAAGCGTTGGGTTTCACAGTGGGCTAGTTTGGCTGCCAATCATACAAGGCATGATCAAGAAGAAAGGATAATGGAGTTGTCTGTACCTGTTTCTTTAGAGAATGGTATTTTCTTTCCTTCTTTCTTTTTTTTTGTGAATCATACATCAATTTTTAAAATACTATAAGCCAAATCTATATAGTAAGACATAAATTAAACCTAAATAAACATATTCACATAGTCTCATGCTCATACTGTATATAGATTTTATTTTCAATAAAAATGCAGATATCATCAAAATATAACCCTAACTGAAGATAAAGAGATAATTTGTAGATGAAGCATATATATACATACTCACACAAATTTATATATATACAACATATATATAAATGAAAATTTAAAAATAAGACTAACACAGTTCCAAACTATCCCATTCATTAACACAACAAATATTTAAATGCCACTTTATGCCATAGGTTCAATGAAAAAGAATTTACTTAATATGTATTTAATTTACTTAATACATCATTTGCAAACCTATGTAATATGATTTTTATTACCTTTTTATTATATTTCTGTGAACTGAAATATAAAGTTTCTTTAAAAAAACACAAAATTATATGCCTCTTATGATTTTGTTATTAGATTCAGTTAATTACGTTCTTAATTAAAAATAAAACTCTCAAGGAGAATTTGTATGTGGCTTTTTACCTGTATTATTAGTTGTATTATTGGAAATGGAAATAGAAATTTGTTTTGTCTTTGACTTGTGGCACCCAGAAATCTGTTTAGGAATTTTGTAAACATTAGTCAGCAAGTATTTGAGCAAGGTACACATCAGTGTACTAGAAAAGCTATATAATTTATCATAGAAGCTAGAAGTAATTTTTAATATTACCAAAAACCTTTGGAAAGACAGAGTAATTTGCAGCTTGGTTCACATAAACTGATTACTGTTTGGGAAACAAAACAGAGAGGCTAGGCAAATTTACAAAAGAATCATTATAAAATTATTATTAGCTGTGGAAAGCAAAATTTTATACTTGTTATAAAAATTAATAGTACTTGGCCTTCATTATTTCATTTCTGTTTCATGTTCTAAATGGACTTACTTAGATAAGCTGATAAATCTGCTTGTAATCTAAAATGTTCTCGTCAAATATTCATTGAGTGTGTGTTAGGAGCCAGGACAGTGTGAGAAATCCTAGAAAAATACAAACTGATAAAATAGCTATTACAGTTTAGTGCTTCAAGTAGCACTAAGGAGATAAGACATAACAAATAACATGATTAATTGCTGAATTGAAGTTACATCAGTTTTCCTACATTAAAACCATAGTATTGCTATGAAATTTAAATGCTAAAATTTTAGAATTATAAAGGGAAGAAAAGACCCATAGAAGCTATATCTAGTTTCTTTTTCCCACTTATCCCCGAAAGATTTAAATGCTTTATATGTTAATTTATATTTCCCTAAAAAGATCCCTTTTCTCAGAAATACATTCCATTTATAAGCAGTCAGGAAAGTCCTCCTTAAGTAGTATTCTCAAAGTCTCTCACATGGAAACATCAAAGTTATATATTTTCTCATTGGCTTCTCAGTTTGAGGCTTTAATATACCAGAAGATCATAATTTTAAAATACCTCAGTTTGTAAAATTATGGCAGGTCCTGTCACCTTTTTCCGTTCTTACAATTTTTAAAAATCTTTTAATGAGCTTTGAATTTTTTTTTAGAAAAACTTGTTAAAATTCTACATTTTCTATTTTACTTAGGAAATCCAAACTTGTCATTATTTCAGTAGATAATAATGCTTATTAAAAACCAGGTATGTTATTATTCTTTACTATGTAATTCAAAGTATAACAAATAAACAGTGTTTACTAGTCATTATTTTTGCAATTCTGTGTACCCTACGTAGAGTCCATTTTTTGTGAGTGAAACTTCACAGATGGGACAAGTCACAAAAGCAAGAATGAACACAGTAAACTTCTCTGCCATAAGACACATTAAGAGAAAAAAGAGAGCAACAGATGTAGGTTTAAGATCAGATGACCCTGATTTTCATCTCATACAATTTGCTTTCTTGACTCTCCTATTAGTAATCTACCTATTTGTGCATTTTGGCATTGTATTTTCTTTTTAAACTACACTGTCACAATGTTGGCTTATTTATTCAAAGTTTTACTTTATACTTAAGCCATTTCTTCAGAATCTAAGGTAATATGATACTCGTTTGCCCCAATAAGTTCCTTATTTGTTGTTTTATTTTATAGATACAGATATCAGTGAATCTGGCCTTTCAGTGAGAAGTACTGGCTCAGCAACTTCCTTGGCTAGTCAGGGAGAGAGAAAGAGACGAACCCTTCCCCAGCTTCCAAACGAAGAAAAGTCTCTTGAGAGCTCCAGAACAAAGGTTATAGCCCAGAGGTCAGAGATAGGAGAAAAGCAAGACACGGAACTTCAGGAGAAAGAAGCACCTACACAGGTATACCAGAAAGATAAACAGGATGCTGAGAGAGCCCTGAGTAAAATGAACAGGGCAGTAAATGGTGAGACTCTTAAAAGTGGTGGAGATAATAAAGCCCTGCTTCACTTAGGCAGCTCTTATTCTGGGAAGGAGAAAAGTGAAAATGATAAGGAAGCTTCTTTTGTAAAGCAAACATTAGCTAAAATCCAGCAACAAGAACAAAAGGAACAGGCACAGTGGACACCTACTAAATTATCTTCTTCAAAAAATATTTCAGGTCAGATAGATAGATGTAGGGAGGAACCTTTCAAACAGGAGTCACAACCTCAAGAAAAAATTCCAGGACTTTCTACAAGCAAAGGAGAAAGAGTGATACAAAATGAGGGTAAGCGAAGAAAAGCTGAGGAAATTCTGAAAAGTCAGACTTCAAAAGGAGGAGACAAGAAGGAATCCTCCAAGTCATTAGTGCGGCAAGGAAGCTTCACTATAGAAAAACCTAGCCCCAACATACCCATAGAACTTATTCCCCATATAAATAAACAGGCTTCATCTACATCCTCTTTAGCATTAACAACTGCCAGCAGAATACGAGAAAGAAGTGATTCTATGGATACTGATTCTAGTTTGGACACAACCCTTATTCTAAAAGACACAGAAGCAGTAATGGCTTTTCTAGAAGCTAAGCTGCGTGAAGATAATAAAACTGATGAAGGCCCAGATACTCCCAGTTATAACAGAGACAACTCCATTTCACCGGAATCTGATGTGGACACAGCTAGTACAATCAGTCTGGTTACTGGAGAGACTGAAAGAAAGCCAACCCAAAAGCGAAAGAGTTTCACTAGTCTCTATAAAGATAGGTGTTCCACAGGTTCTCCTTCCAAAGACGTTACAAAGTCATCATCTTCAGGTGCTAGGGAGAAAATTGAAAAGAAAACAAAAAGTCGTTCCACAGATGTAGGTTCTAGGGCAGAGGGTCGTAAATTTGTGCAGTCCAGTGGGAGAATAAGGCAGCCTTCAGTAGATTTAACAGATGATGACCAAACCTCTAGTGTACCTCATTCAGCCATCTCTGATGTTATGTCATCTGATCAGGAAACTTACTCTTGTAAATCTCATGGAAGGACTCCACTTACCTCAACGGATGAGCATGCACGTTCCAAACTGGAAGGAAGTAAAGTAACTAAATCCAAGACTTCTCCTGGAGCACCTGGTTCATCCAGTAAATCAACCACTCTCCCAAGGCCACGACCCACCAGGACTTCCCTCTTGCGCAGAGCCCGACTTGGTGAAGCTTCAGACAGTGAACTCGCCGATGCTGACAAAGCATCTGTGGCTTCTGAAGTGTCCACAACAAGTTCGACGTCGAAACCTCCCACAGGAAGGCGTAACATTTCTAGGATTGATTTGTTAGCTCAGCCTCGTAGAACAAGGCTTGGCTCATTATCAGCTCGCAGTGACTCTGAAGCAACAATCTCTAGAAGCAGTGCCTCTTCACGGACCGCAGAAGCCATCATTAGAAGTGGAGCCAGATTAGTACCTTCAGATAAATTTTCTCCTAGAATTAGAGCTAACAGTATCTCTCGACTATCTGACTCCAAGGTCAAAAGTATGACCTCAACACATGGCTCTCCTTCAGGTAAATTGGATCCAGACTTTTTATAATATTAGCATATTTCTTTTATGTTTTGGGACTCCTTTTTAAAAAAATTAAATATTAGTGTTGATTCCCAAAATTTTCAGCAGAAAGGTCATGCTGTAGAGGGGTTTGTTCCTATAAAAATTACTTTATTTAGCTTAGTAAATGGAAAATTCAGAAGTTATACACACTTCCAATTAATGTCCTGGTACAAAATAGTGATTTCAAAATTAGAAGTATATTGAACCGATTTGGAATTTTAATTGTCTAGTTGGTGAGGTATCTGGATTTGTGTGTCAAAGTTAGATTAGGAATTATTATCTAGTTTATACAATAGAAATTAATAAAAATTAATATTGTGTTTCTAAAAACATGTTTAACTTTTAAACATCTTCACATAATTCTAAGAGTCTGAAGAAAAGCAGTATACCCTTTATTTACCCCTTTCAGAGCTAAATGAAATAATCAGTTTTATCCTTTTTTCCTATTTATTTTGAAACATCTTGTATTTTTTTAAGTTAAATCTGTTTATGGTTGGGGCGGATGAAAACTGATCCTTAATTTATTGCAGTGAAAGAAGATGGATTTGAGAGACAGTCACTAAGCACGTGGGCGAAACTGGGCTATAGAAATTTAACTGGTTTTGAGCATTATCTCATAAGGTGCCGTTATATCGTTTAACTAGTGACAGTAATTAGCTGTCATTGATTGTAATAATTACAAAAGCTACTTTCTCCCCACCAGAATTAACTGCTTCTGGCATATTTGTCTGTTTATATACTTCATATTCAAAGCCATAGCCAGTGAGAATACATATGTGATCAAAGAGTACTAAGACAGATATTGGTGTGTGTCCTGTAAACATGGTCTCATTACTTTATAATCAGCTTCATATGTGGGTGTGGCTGAAACGGACAGTTGAGGGGAAACCAGCTGTTAAAAGACTTGAAGATTCATTTCCATCAGTCATCTAAGTGAGCCCTAAGTCTTGAGTGAAGAGTAAAGGGAAAGTTGGTGTGCAATCTTTTTTTTTTTTTTTAATTTTGACTTCTATCACGATATAGCCTACAAGACCCAAAACTAGTGGTACTTTGCAAGTGTTATTTTTTTCATTTTTTGTTCCTCCTCTCTCCTCCTCACTGCTGCTTTTCTCCACTCCATTCACACTCCATCTCTCTCCTGGTCTGTGGGTGAGGTGGTGATGATCATCATGGGTGTAAGCTGAAGATAGATAGCATACAGTCTTGAATTCCAAAAGAATAGGTGACATTTCCCTTATTACTGTTGTCCTCCTTGTCTCTATGCTTCAGGCTTTGGTTGGTGGTTCATGGGTTTGTTGCCAAGTATTTTAAAAGTGCTCTCACTTGATTTATGTTTCCCCAGTGTTGTTATCTGTTGTTCCATGTGGCTCTGCTTCTTCAGTTCACAGTTCCTTTGTGCTGCATTCTATGGTGTGTACTCTTAGCAGATTTCTTCTGCCACATTGCTTGTCTCTTCACCTCATGTCTATTTAAGTTCATAAAAATGTTTAAGTATTCTCCTGTCTTAACATAAGCTGTGACATAAGTTGTATGTTACCAAGTAGCATGAAACTCTTGGTAACTCTTCCTTCGGTACTAGTTATCTAGCTCTAACACATGAGTGATCTGATTTTATTCCTCAGTGTTTACCAGAGGGGCTTATTTGAGATGCAAACCAAATATGATTACTTCAGCAAGTCTAAGAAACAGCTATACGATGCCATATATATATATATATCTTTAAAGATATATTTTGTTTTCTGCTTCTTTGAACGCAGAACTTCATAAACATCTTTCTGTGTCCAAAAAGTACCTGAATTGCTTAATGAAATTTCCTAGGGCAAACTGAGGTGTGTGATCTTGGCCTTCTCCATACTTACTAGCAGTATATTAAATAATTAGAGTCATGGAATTTTATAGTTCAAAGGGTTATTCAGTTTAGGGAACTAAGGCCAAGAGATGGAATAACCTGACCTGGTCACATAGATATATATAGCAAGAACAGGTTGAGAATCCAAAGCTTTTAATTCCCAACCTATTGCTTTTTCGACCACAGCCAGTCTAGCTCTGAGAAATAGTCTCTACTTGTGTGCAAGCTTCCAGAGGACAGCTGGACTCTATTGATTATCATGAATATATATAAGGCCAATATACAGTATAAAGATTTTGGTATTGTTCACCATAATCTTTGTAATTATGATGTTTTACCAAGTTCATGTTCTCTTTTCCACCTTATTGAGCGTGAAGCCACATTGTGATCCAGGATTATATATTCAGATTCTCTCAAGATGCCCATTTACAGTTTTATATCCTATCTAGGACAATGACCAGGGTCTTTCAGTCAGGGTAACATACTAAAATAGTTACATGTGGTAGGTAGTAAAAATTAAAACAAACATACTTTTTTGATTTTCCTAATTGAGGTATCTTTGATATTATGATACTTCTACTTAATATAATTATAAATCTTGAATGGAAAAAGAAAATAAAAATTCATAGCTTTTGAAATATGGTTTAAAAGAATGTGAAACCATACTTGTCAGTGTTGCTATTCACACTGTAAACTTCAAAGGTCTTAGAAATGTCTGAACTTAGAGCCTGTGATGTCCAAATTGTCATATGTAAAAACAATTCTATAAAGCTTCAAATTCTGTATTTTAACCTATGTTAAAAAAAAGCTTTTCAAAGAAATATATGTGATAAAAATAGAAGCATGGAAATCTCGGATTTAGCAAAATTAGGAGTAAGGTTTCTTTTATGCTTCTTTAATTCTGATGTAATTTGTTTTTAGGAGTTCAGTTCCCCCCACACCACGAAAATTTCTACAATGATCCTTCAGTATGAAGTTATATTAAAATATCCAGATTTATTTTCATACGATACATTTAAAATTTAGCACCCTGAATTATCAAAATAAAGCAGTTGGTTTTCATTATGTTTTAAGTACACATTCTAAAAATTTTAAAAATCATGTTAACATCCTTAGAATTTTTTTAGACCATTTGCTTTCCCACTTTTATTCTAATCCTCAAAATGTATAGATGGTAGGAGTTAAAAGTTGGACATGCATGGCTTGAGTTATTTTTTCTCAGGTCAAAGACCAATACAGAACACTGTCAGGGATTTTTTCCCTCAAATGGTCTCATTGCTACTTGCTTATAAATATACATGTAAAACGTGTTTGTGGCTTAACTTCCCACAAAAATATTCTGATACAAGTATGAAGATGCAATGTTTGTTTTCTGAAATGTATTTGTTACATCTGTAGATGTGGATGTGTTTTGATGTCAACAGAGTTTTGGTTAACAGTAAAAGAAATCAAAACAGTCACAGATAAATGATCCTAATAACTCTTTTTCCCTTTTTAAATTATTTATACATCATAGATAGTATGTTTTCTTAGTGAATGTAGTAGTTTATTACTTCCACAAGAGGGAGTGTTGCATAGTTTTATAACTAAAATAAGTCTTTTTAACTAATGTAACTAAAATAATTTTCAGGTTAGCTACAAAATTAATTAAGCCCATCTTAGAACTTTTTCTCATTTTATTATATGTGCTTTCTAGCACTTCATCAACCCAAGAAGCTTCTTAGAGATTGGCATTTCAGATACCTTCAATACAAATTTCCAATTTAAGGATTTATCTGAAATGCCTTATTAGTACCAATGTATGAAATAAGCCTAATGATATAAAATTACATTTGATTCTCTAAATGATTTTACCTAAACAGGATGAAATTCAAGAAAAAACTAAAAAAAATTTTCAGCACTGGTAAAAAAATATCACAAAAACAGTCATTCTGTGAGAAGTCTAGGATGTATTTTTTTTTTTTTTTTTTTGCGGTATGCGGGCCTCTCACTGTTGTGGCGTCTCCCGTTGCGGAGCACAGGCTCCGGATGCACAGGCTCAGCAGCCATGGCTCACGGGCCTAGCCGCTCTGCGGCACGTGGGATCTTCCCGGACCGGGGCACGAACCCCTGTCCCCTGCATCAGCAGGCGGACTCTCAACCACTGCAGCACCAGGGAAGCCCTGTCTTTTTTTTTTAATTAGTCTAACTTAAAATGTTTGGGTTTTTTTAAATATAAAATACTTATTTTTTGTAAAGCACTTGGAATGAATTTTGCACTCTGGGAGTCCGTAGACCTGGCTTAAACTTTGATTTAAGCAATGCAAGACCTTTCTGGGCCTGATTTTTATCTATAAATTCAAGAATTTGGACTATCTAATGTCTAAGGTCATTTTATTCTAAAATTCTATGAAATAAGAAGGCACTGGGGAAAGTTAAAAACATTTTTACTTGAAGTTTGCTCTGCAATAGCTAGCAGATTATAGGGATTTTTCTTCAGATAAAATGTATTGATGCTACAGTTTGGAAGCAAAGGTTAAGAACGCAAAGGTATTGAGAGAAGTTCTTCGACAAATAACAGGTCAGAGGTCCTGGCTTTAAACTCCCTTTCTCAGTCCCTTTTTCACCAGTAGTCATCATTTCACTTCTCAGTTCTACACGTTGCTGTTACACAAGCCAGGTTTTGTCCAGAGGTTAACTCGAGCTTTGCTTCATAGCACACCATGTACGGTATGCTTTCCATTGGTAAACATAACCTTTAATTGTTTGAAGACTTATTAATCATATTTTCATTTTCTGCTATGTCCTACTTATTTTATCTCTCAATTTCAGGAGAACACACCTAAATATGTTACCTTTCAGGTTTTAATATATGCTTTGTTCTTTTGGTTGCTTTTCTTGTTATTTTCCTTCATTCCTCCCTCCCTCCCTCCCTCCCTCCCTTCCTTCCTTCTATTATTTTTTAATTTTTTATATAATTTTAAAGGTTACTTTTCATTTACAGTTATTACAAAACATTGGCTATATTCCCCATGTTGTATAATAATACATCCTTGAGCCCATCTTATACCCAATAGTTTGTGCCTCCCACCGGGCCCCCATATTGCCTGTCCCCCTTTACAAGTTATTATTAGAAGCTTCAGTATTCTTACTGGATTCTAGATAGACCTATAAAAATAGGTGGAAAGTTTATGAATTTCATTTGAAAAAGAATTTTCTCTTTTATTCTTTTCTCCAAAATGTAATGATTCTCTCACCTCAAGACTTTAGACTGTTAAAATTAAATTCTCATGTGGCTCACCTTATATATTGTCACCTGACATTTAGCACTTGGTTCTCACTTTCTCATTCTGCTTTCATGCGCTCTGCCACTCATAAAATCTATCAGCCGTTGATGCCATTCTCTCTAAATTTTCTCTACATTAACTACCTGAGTTCTATAATACCTGCTTATGTTTTCATATGTTCTGCAGTTTATTAAAACTCTTTGTTATTGGTTTTGTCTTCTCTCCAATTTTCAGTTTTAGGTATGGTTACATAGTTTCCACATCAAAAATCAGGAACTTTAATCTAACAAATGATGTTTTTTTATTTATGAACTTCCTTTTATGAATCATATTCTAGGATAGCAAAATAAAGAGCATTTAGCATTTAATGAAATGCCTTTATTAAAAAGTACAGATTTGTTTACCATATATCTAATTGCCTTGCCATATTTCTATTTTTTGAAAAAACTTCTTTGTTCTTGTTCCTTAACTTTTCCTAAAATTGTTTTCACGTCTCAGGGTCAGTTCAACTTAAGGAGTTTTCAGATGTCTAGAAATGAGTAAATTTCCACCATGGTAAAAGTAATATTTATGTTAATGAATTATAATGTTAAAATCAGAAATTATATTTATTACCCCCTTCAAAACACTCTATGATTAATTACCTGGAGTTCCATATATGTATTTGCATACACTTTTACAGAAAGCCGTAAAGTTTCTGCCTATCTTCATTCTGTCAAATAGAAGTTTGAATCCAGGCAAATGGGTAGGCTCTGACTTATGATGTAGTCCTGATTACAGATTTCTTTTTCTCTGTTCTTAAAGCAGTTCTGGGGGTAGTGTGTATCAATTTTGTTTGAGAGCCAACTCAGCCTTACAGAGCCCCAGTCAAAAATGTAGTTAGGGGAGGAAAAGGCAGGAAAGGCATAAAATTCTAGTGGAGTAGTATGAAGGAATTCTAGACTTCACAAACCTACACAGCCTAGAGTCAGTTTCTGTTTTAAAAGAGAGAGAGAGAAAGAAAACTCTTCTAATATTAATAACAGTTGGAACTTTAGGCAGGAGCCAAGGTTTTATCATTTGAGCCACCAAAAACATCTCATGCTTTTTACTAGTTTTTTCTAATTTGAGAAAAGGAAATGGTCAGTATCTAGGAATTAATTCATTTATTCAAAAGTATTTATTAAACATTTGTTAGCCAGACACTCTGCTAAGTGCTAGATACACGTTAGTGGCTTAGATAGGCATACTTCCTGCCCTTTTGAAGTTTACCATGAATTAGCTGTTATCTTCCTGTTTTTTACACTTTATGTTTGATTCTTTTATTAACAGTAGTAGTGATCTGTCTGCATTAATTTGTCTTCTGATTTTCAAATGTGTCAGCAAAACCATTTTTTAAATCTTTACTAACCTTAAATAAGAAAGTGATTACCACTTTCTTTAATGTGACTATCGTCAGTATCTTCTGTGCCATAAGTGTCAGTGGTTGTGAGAATAGCTTGTAGGTTTTATTGCCGTTGTCTGCTTTCACCATATGCTTTCAGTGTCAAAGCAGCAGTTGTACTAAAGATGCTTTGTTGTGTTTTTACCGTGTAAAAAGATTTTTTCCAATCATAGCATAACAGGATGTTGAATGACAGAGGTAATGTTTTTTTTTCCTGCCATAAGGCATAATTTCCACAGCAGGAATTATGCATATTTGTATGTTGGGAAAAGAGGGTTTTTACCATCTCCATGTTGAAAGTCCATGTGGCATGAGGAAATCTTTTCCTTTATTTTTATTTTTGTTGTTGTTGTTGCTATCATTTAAAAAAATCCATATCGTCACTTAAATGAGAAATATTTGCAATTAAATAGTACCCGAGTTAAACATTTATGAATAGAGCTTGCTTAGTTGTTTGTCATTAGTGAATTTTTCATCTGAATGTTTATTCACCATGCTACAGAAAATGTGATCTTTCTATTGTTATTAATTCCTCATTGTTTTTAATTCACCAAAGTATAATGTTTCTATCTTTAAGGAATAGTAGACTTATGGTTTTTGTGAGGTATGTGTACATCAGTTATTGAAAATTGTGCTGTGTGTGCTCTCATGGTGTTTTTGAAATCATGAATTTTATTTTACCTCTTTTAAAAGATAACATAATAATTCTTTTTTTAATAATTAAACTAATTTAGTAAATGCAAGATGGAGGCGCTTTCCTACTGATTATGCTTCCACCTCAGAAGATGAATTTGGATCAAACCGTAATTCCCCTAAACATACCCGTCTACGTACTTCTCCAGCCCTGAAAACGACTCGATTGCAGAGCTCTGGGTCCGCAATGCCTACTAGTTCTTCATTCAAACACCGGATAAAAGAACAGGAAGACTACATCCGAGATTGGACTGCTCATCGAGAAGAAATAGCCAGGTTGGTTTTAATGGGTTATCTCTAAGAGTTAAAATTGTTTCAACTTGATAACAAGTTTAGCTTTTACTTGGTTTGTACTAATAGTCCAAGGAATGAAATCCACAGATAACTATCTGTTATCCACAGATAACTACTTAGTTTTGTTGGTAGTATTACTGTCTATCCTTTTTTTTTTTCATATGGTATTTTTAATGTGAGTGCTACTTACATATTGTAGAATTAATTTATTTTGGTAAACCACCTTTTCTTATTTCTAGTAGAGATACAGATGAATTAATATAATTTTTGAAAGGTAGTCAGTATCAGCTCTACATAATTGAGAATTGTGCAGCTAAATTTTTGATTACTTTCCTTTTACCTTCCAAAGAGGTAATAGTGTACTTGTTAGAGATGTTGCTAATGTTCTCTGGGGAGAATTAGAGTTAGTCAGATTATTACTCACACTTCGGTGAGTTCATTAGATACAGTCAGTACAATCCTTTAATAATCAAATGAAAATATTATTTTGGATGTTAAATAAATGTATTTATAATAACCTGAAGATTACATAATAAAAAGTAAAATTCATGCTGCGGATGTGATTTTTAATTGATAGCATTGTAGTTGAACATTAAAGAGAGGCTCTACTCAAATAAATGCTATAGTAGTTAAGGGTTTTTTAAGTTTGTAAGGTATTAAATTTTACTGCAGTATGCCACATGTTACCTAAACATTTTCACTGTGTACATGCTAAAATTATTTCTGCCTTTAGTTTAAGACCCTAATCTTCAAGTTTTATACTTGACAACATTTATTAAAGAATTTATTTATAATAATTCATAAATGCTTTTTAAAAAAACTTTTATGATGTTCATCTTTTGTTTTCTTTACTCTGTGGACTTCTGTGAATTGTTTTTTTCTGGCTCATTAGTTTAATGTTTAGGTTTTTTGGTTTTTTTGTCTTTAATGACTATTCACTTGTGATTGCCTTTAGTTCTTAAAGAACATGCCCTTCTAATCTCATTACGCTGCTTAAACGTTGTTTTTTGGCCGTATAAATGACAATAATTATTGAAGCATTGTAAACCAGTTCTGATTACAGTACAGGCATATATGTGCTTTGGGATCCATGAATTATCATGGGCTCACAAAACTGTTAGTGAGAGAATCTTGACACTACATTTTTTCTTGTGGGCACAGCTGGCAACAGCAGGCCTTGCTCTTGTCTCATTTTTCTCCTTCCCATGCAGAAGTCTCACCACGTGAGCTCAATGGGTACCTGAGGGAACTAGAGTGTTCTGCTTTTTCTTAGGAGGCTTTGCGTCTCAAGCTCTCTGCCCCAAACTAGAGCACTAATAACCTTCTTCTGGGCCAAACCCACTTCCCTGCCCCTAAACAGAAAAGAATTATGATACAAAGGGGAAAGTGAATAAGAACTGTCTGTTATATTTTCACTTTTATTTTGTTAGTATGTGCGTTTTATTACCCTTGTCTATGTATATTTTATTATCTATAGTAGTACTCTAAAGCTAGGCTATTTAACCTCTAATGATTTCATGCCTTTTTCCTCCAGTTTCTTAGTAGCATTATGCTAATAAAACTTGCTATTGGGATTTAATTTTTCAAGGTATATTTTTCAGCCATACATCTCAAAGCAAGAGAAAGTTCTTTTTGTTTATTAAGAAATTTAAAAAGGCGGAGGGAGGATAGGAAGTATGCAAGGAAAGAAAGTTAATGTTGATATTTAATGTTCCTGTAAGACGCTGATAAGTTTGCTTAATATGAGGAAATTTATTTTCAAATAACTATGAATCACATACTAAATAGAATGGAGAAATACATAGCTTTATTTCTTTAAATTAGCTACCACTTTCACTTAAGAAAACTCACATGCTGGAGCAATACTTTTTTTTTTTTTTTTTTTGCTGTTCGCGGGCCTCTCGCTGTTGTGGCCTCTCCCGTTGCGGAGCACAGGCTCCGAACGCGCAGGCTCAGCGGCCATGGCTCACGGGCCCAGCCGCTCCGCAGCATGTGGGATCTTCCCGGACCGGGGCACGAGCCCGTGTCCCCTGCATCAGCAGGAGGACTCCCAACCACTGCGCCACCAGGGAAGCCCTGGAGCAATACTTTTAAGAGTAATAGGTAAAGATATTTTTATTTGAAAAGCACAATAGTGATTTTAATTTATTACAAAATGTTTTCTGCTTTGTTATATTCTATTTGCTTAGATTTTAGAACTATATTACTAAACTTACTTTGTAAGTCCGTACATAGTAATTATTTACCTTCGTTTAAACTTAAAGCACAAAAATTCCATCTGGAATATAAAGAATATAAGCAAAATATATTTAGTCTTTCAATTTGAAGAGGAAACTTTTTTCCAGGTACCCCCGATACATGTGCTTTCGATAATGCTTTTCCCAGTTTCTCCATTATAACACAGATACAGATTTGCTTCCCTTGGGAATTTCTTAGATTATACCTTTATGAATTTTAGGGTAAACAAAGCTATAATACCACCTTTACAGATTATCAAATATAATACATTTAACCTAAAAATTATACTGGAAGATTATATAATTCTCATTTGGATCACAATGCACTTAACGATATTTCAGTGTTTTAGATTCATTATTACACATTCCACTGTAACATTAAATTTTTTAGGAGAGAGTTCTAGTTAACAATATTTTACTTTAAGGTTTAACAACCAGTTCATTATAGATATGTTATAGGAGAGGATTAAATCATAAAGGCAATATGATATTTTATCCTAATGTTGATTGAAGGTATTATTTGCAAAGGTGAGATCCTCTTGCACCTTTACACCTCTGCAGTTTTATTTTGGATCAAGTTTTTGTATGCATAAGTACTTTATATATATTGTGTATATGCGTGTAATCCCCGTCCACTCAACAAAGAATTCCTGAGCAACTCCTATGAGCAGAATGTAGTGTTTAGCGTGAGTGAACTGTAAAGATGACTTAGACATGGATGTCCTCAGTTCAGAGTCAGAGGAAAGAAGCAAAAGTGTTGTGTGCAGTTGATACAGGCAGAGTGACAGAAGAGGTTTTAAAAAATAGGAAGTTTGTCCAAGTATAAGATGTAAAGGTGTATAGTTATTGGATGACCAAATTGAAGATAATACAGAGCCAGCTAAATAATAGGAGACTTTGAATGCCAGCTACGAAGTGTGCATATTATTTTATATATGTTGAAACTTTAAGATTTTTGAAAAGGAAGGTAACTTAAGATCTATATTAAAAGAAGGTAACTCTGAAGGGCATTTTGTAGAATTGTTTGAGAGAGAAGAGAGCCTAGAGATAAACTAGTAATCTATTCTAGAAGTTAATGTGCAACATATTGAAGACCTGAGACAAGACAGTGTTAGTGAGGGTACAAGTGGAGATATGGACGTGTAACAGCTGACAGCGTTTGATGATTGCCAGCATGACTCCATGGTTGTTCAAATGGATATTAGTAAGAATAAGGAAGACAAAAGACAGGAAGGAAGACAAGCTTCGTTTTGGACATACTGACTTTAAGGTACTTAAGGAACAGCCATGTGAAAGCGTGTGGCTCTGCAACATAGGAAGCTGATGAGAGCTAGAATCATCGTTTTGGAAGTCAAAGAGAAAATACTTGAAGCTGTGGTCATAGATGATGTTGCCAGGAAATGGTGAGTGAACCTAGAATACTGTCGAACTCAGAGGTATAACCTAAATTATAAGGATGCAGTATACCTGAATGATCAGAATCGTGGACTCTGGGATCAGGCCTTCTAGATTGAAACCCAGCTCTACCCACAAGGTCTGTATGACCCTTGACAAGTTAAGTAACTGTGCTCTAGTGATCTCATGCATAAAATGGACGTAACAGTAGTGCCAACTTGAGAGAGTTGACAGACTGATGCATGTGCTTGACATATAGTGCTTGACATATAGTAAGCTAGCAATAAATGTTATATTTAAGTGGAGTGCAGAGAAAACAGTGTGGTGTGTGTGTATACTCAAATATGATTATATTTAGAACTTAATTGTGAGCTTTCCGTTTTCTGTATGACTCCAGATGTAATTGGAGTTTCAGAATCAATGCTATATTCTTATAATTTATAAAATATTCTGTTAGGCTTACCCTATACAAATAGGAAACCTAAGAATCTCAGCCAAGGTTTTGTTCACATTTTCAATCCAAACATTATTTTAAAATGTTCTTTTTTACCTGAGAATAATAACGCTGATATATAAGTGGTCTGTTTTTTTTTTAAATATTGAAATGATTGTTAAATAAATGTATCACAGAACACCCACCTAATGAGTCCTACTCCCTGATTTGATAGCCTCCAAAGTAAAGTCATCTGACACTTCATGTCAAGAGGGAAAAAGCTTTTATTATTACTAAGTCTTTTACATATAATACTTTTATTAGTGAAATTCAAATAAGAATACCTATCAAATACATTTTTAAAAATTTTAGAATAGAACTATGGTTTATATTTTTCAAGCCTAAATAATATTTGCAATTAAAATTACAAATGTATGGTAATCTTAACGATGAAAAACCAAATACTTGTAATTTTAATACATTACTAAAAGCTTTTTTGTTTTATTTTTTTGGTAAGAGTCAGTTTAATTTAGTGGCCAGGATTAAGTGGTATGGGGTTCCTTATAATCTATAAAGTAATGTAATGAAACATCTATACATAGCAATCTATTTTAGTTAAAAAATTCTTTTAATGGCAATACAGTTAAAAGATATACTATATTTGGGGGTATGTGTGGAAGTGAGCTTTAATAATACTAAAGTATTTTTTATTTCGGAGAAAACACCATAGAGATAAAATTTACGTTATCAAAGAATAAAGTACATCTGTTCAGTCAGTTTTAAGCTTCATTGGTTCACAATAGCTGAAGTCCAGGTCCAGCCTCTGTCTGTTTGTTCTGTTGGGCTAGGCCAGATCCAAATAGCAAGGGTAGGAACAAAACATTTGCCCAGAATAACTGTCAACTGACAGTTATTCTTCAGTTTCTTATAGTTTTTCAGCATTTCCTAGATATTATGCCTTCATCATATTCTCTGACCTGAGGGTACCTTATACTACCTCTTTGCATGTACTTTGGCTATCTCAAATCTTGCTCATTGAATAAGGGCAGTATTTTCCTGTCAGGTGACTTCACACCATCTTCTTTTAACTTGCAGACTTTGTGTCTGGTGGAGATGGCATGGGGTGGTGTGGTGGTGGTTGTTTCTTTAATTTTTCTCATTTATTTAGGAACTGTTTATTGATGGCCAAGAGTGTGCTAAGACCTTCTAAGTTATCTTCTTACCATTACCTCTTCATGACTTGCTCAGTTTATTTGAAGCATATTCATAAGTTTAAAGACTACACTTAAGTAAATATAACGTATCTGTGGTGCTAAGCTCACGTTTAAACTTAGTTTCATTGAAGAAAATGGGAGGTAACTTTTTAAAAAAATATATAATTAAATCCCTACCCCCTTTGATGGCCAGAAATATATTCTACATACTTTATTCCTCTATTTGGGCTAGCCGTTAAATTGCTTTGGCTACCCTGAAGAGCTTCCAATTTCAATCCATTACTCTCCCAACCTAAGCCAGTCTTTTGTGGCTCAGGTTACCTATTTCTCCCAATTCTCCGTGCTTTCATTAAATGCCCACAATAGATGTGGATTGCCATAATTCTTTCATTAAGGTTTTTTGTAATATTGCATCAAAATTCCATCAACATATAATAAATATAACTGAGAGTTTCCACCAAAAGAAGAATAAGATCTTCCTTATCAGTAGGAAACTTTTGTGAACCTTCCCTATAGTCTTTAGCTAGGTCAAGTATATGAGTTAATCTTTATGCCTCTTGAGAGCTAGGCTTCTTTGATTCTTTATTATGAAGTCAGATTCAACATAAGATTTTCTGGAATGACCCTTAATGTCTCTCCTAAAACTAATTTTATATTTTTATCACTCCTGTCATTTAAAAAGTAGACTAAATTATTTCTTAAAAGCTAAGTAAAGTTATAGTTATAATCTCTTATCCAGTGTTAAAGTAACAAGAGGTTTGATTTGTTATCATTCACTTCAATGTTAGGATTCTAAAGCTAGTATACTTCTTCAGTAGCTCATCACTTCCTTTTTTCCAGTAATATCAAAGGCAGTCTCATCCTCATGGTTTATATGTATATCCTTTGAAGCTCTACTTACATATAAAAACTTTTGAAACTTAATATGCTATTAAAAAGATAAAGCAGATATTTTCCTTTTCAGTTAATTTAAAACCTAAAAGACTGTTAATGTTGGTAATTTAAATCAATAAAGCCTGATAGTTTGTTTCTATCATGGTTATTAGGTCACACTTGCAAATATTGCATGTTTAATAGGACATGCATTTCACAAGGACTCACTCTCATTTTCAACATTTTAAACTTCCAGTATACCCAAAGCGTATTATTAATATATTTTCCCCTGTTTTTAACCCTTCAGTGAAAAATAGCCTTTAATTGATTTAAATAAGAAAGGGGACATTACTGAGATAGTTCACCTGAGAAAATCATAAACTTCATAAAGTATGTCCTCATTACCCCACCTTTTTACAAATAATGCATATTCATTTCTACAAAATTTTTGAAATTGGATTATTGGTTCTGACCCTAAGGTAGACAAAATTACACAGATGTTATAGAACTTAACCCTGAAACTATATTTCCTTCCTTAAGGACTGTTTTCCTATCCATATTTTGTAATAAAATAAAATGTGAAAATTATCCATTTTTCTAATTAGAAGGCTTGAGTTTTTATTGATATTGCAAAGCAAGCAGATGGAAGCAAAACTCCAAATAAAAGGTCTGTTCATTTTAGAATTTCCTCCTTCAGCAGATTTATAGAGGTGGAGATTGAGAATAAGAACAGGGGTTATAAACTTGGAGATCAAAGAAAGAACACAGAATACAAGAGATATAAAGAACTACATTATTGTAAAATAGTCTAATAACTGTAATCTAGAAGTATTACAGAATTAATTTGTAAGCCTAGATTGAAAAACCATATGAATAGATCCATACTCTATGTTGAGTCATAAAACTGTTATTTCTGAAGATATTCATAACTTTGGCTTTTTTTTCCTTGATAATTTTATATGTCTTTTAGAATTCCTAATACTGGTTTTAGTAGGTGCTAAGATTTTTAAGCAATGCAGATTTAAATTAATTGTCTGTATTATTGAGTCAGCTTTAAGATAGGAATTGCCATGCAAAGAAACAGCTGGTATATACGCAACATACTTGTAAATTAAAAGAAAGCTTTTCGGATGCCTACTAACTGAACAGTATATGAGGTATATACATTAAGAGTTCATTGTAGTACAGGTTTTACTGTATAACATGTTGACATTGCTGTTGTTTGTGGGGTTTTTTTAATTAATTCATTACTGCTTTCTGCAAATATCAGAAGCTTCATCGTACAAATGTCTGCATAAAAAACTTTAAAAATAAAATAGATAAGTAAAAGTTGTCTATTTCTTATCTCATTAAACTGGGTTATTCTGTTTCTCATCCTAGTTCATTTATTTTAGGAAATTACAAGAGTGGAATATTGTATCTAAGGAAACAGTTTACACCCATTCTCAAAAGAGTTACATCAACAGTTAACAAGTTTTTAAAAATTAGATGTGGAATGGTAATATGAGATATAGCGTGACGTATAGAAAGATCTGGTTACACCACTTACTGTTTGTGACCTTAACCGAAAAATTAGTTGCATAACCTCTCCTGAGGCTGATTTTCCTCATCTGCAAAACAAGCTGATTAATACCTCTCTTACCAGGTGGTTGTAAGAATTAGAGTTGGTGAATATAAAGCTTCTTTATAATGGTTTTGATTGTAATATAATGGTAAGTATTGGTTTTGATTCTTTGAAAATATAATTCTAAGCTTCTGAAGCCAAGGACCCTGTCTGCTTATTCACCATTGCAGCCCTTAGGGCCTACCACAGTGGCCAGATCAGTAAATATTTTTTGGTAAATAAAAAGGAATTGACCACAGACTGCTTCTGTTGGGCCATAGCTTCAACATAGCTTTTCTTTTTAAATCTGTAGTTAAGTTTTTATGCAATTACTGCATTCCTTGAAAGTCTTTCAAGCTCACATTTTGTATAAGTTAAAAAACTGTTACTTTGTGCTTTGGATTTTAGAGTTGGGAATCTTAAAACAGGTACTTTACAAATATTGTCATTCCAAAACTTTCCCTGTGGAAGTAGCCAAATAGAGAGCATGTACAGGGGATGCATAACTTAGAAAATGTTCAGTTATCACCAATAACAATTATTTAATTTTTCAATCCATGTAGCTAAAAATACAAATAAATGGCTTTATGGAAATAAGCTCTAAACCTGGAATCTGGCCCTGTCTTAGCTACTTCTAAGTTGTATGGTCATGAGCAAGCCAGTAATTTTCTCCTAAAATGTGTCTTTATTCATAATCCGATGGGTTCTACCTCACAAGCTCTGCCTCTATCTTGTGACCCTCAAATGACATAAATTGTATACTGTGAAGTATGGTATATGGTGTAAAGTGCCACGCTATGTCACAGTTCCTCACCTTGGTACCGTACACCCCTTGGGCCATCTGGGGAAGCTTAGGGAGCCCTTCTCAGAAGAATGTTTCTAAATGCATAAACGTAAAATACTTAGAATGACAAAGAAATGCAATTATATTGAAATACAGTTATCAAAATATTTTTAAAGGTATATAGTAATATATGGTTCTCTGTTAACATACTAAATGGAATGTTATGGCTGTGGGTTTAATGAACTGCAGTAATTTTGAAATAGTGATGACTAAGTGTTTTGAGGTACTTGTAGCAACTATAATGTGATTACTTTTGCTGACAAAAAATCAGCAGTATTGCTAATACCACTGTTGTTTTTTGCTTGTATTTATAATTGAAAGAAATGCTAAGTTTCAGTTAGGAGAGTAGTGAAAATAAAGTTGTAATTGCTTTTCTCATTCAAGTTCATGGACTCCTTGAATTCTGTTCACTACCCCCAAGTTTAAGAACTCCTGTATAGTCATTAACATTAACAGTGTATTTTTAAAAGATATATCACTACTTCAGGTATTTAACATGTATTTTTCAAAGTGACAACTTGTAGATGACGTGCAATTTAGTTTTATTAATATTTGGAATTAAAGTTTAAGACTTTGAGTATCAAATAGTTAATAGCATGTCCAAAAAAATCTTAAATTTTGAGTACAGATCTTTAAGTAAATATACAACTTATGTAACTGATTCTATCAAAATGATTGTTTCTAGACCTGTTATTTGAAAGTATTGAACTTCTTTTCTAAAATTATTGCCAGGATCAGCCAAGATCTTGCTCTCATTGCTCGGGAAATCAACGATGTAGCAGGAGAGATAGATTCAGTGACTTCATCAGGCACTGCCCCTAGTACCACAGTAAGCACTGCTGCCACCACCCCTGGCTCTGCCATAGACACTAGAGAAGAGGTAGGAGATCTTCATGGAGAAATGCATAAGGTTCTTTCTTTTCTTTATTTCTTTTGCTTTTAGCTTTTTGCTTAGTTTATTTTAGTTACGTCCACCCTTCCTGTTTGCATGAAGCTCTGCATTTTCCAACTTTACTTTAACAAGTTTCTTTTATGTTTTTATAACAAAACTAGTAAAGGCTAGCATTTTGTCTACTATTAACATGAAGCTATAAAATGATTTAAAATAAGCACTTTGTAAAATATGAAAATAAACGGTATCAGAAAAGCAAATCCAAATTTGGTAAATGCATAAATAATAAATAGTTGTATAAAGTTTTTGTAAATTTTACGTAGCTTCTTAACTAGGAGTTATCTCTAGTAGCAAAGAAAGAGAAAAATTCTACAGTTTTCACGACTTTAAATAATTCTGTTGATGAATATACACATGCATATGTATACACAAAGATTCTTAAAAAATTGAAATATACCTACACACACACTCAAATATGTGTATCCAGTTTTGAAACACTCGTGAACTCTGCAATGTAAGTTAGCATATATAGACTATTGCCCTGCCAAAACCAGGGCCTCCTGCCCTCCCACTCCTGGGGGCACCATGTACATACATGGCTCCAGAAGGTGCCTTTAACATATAATATAAAAATAATGTACTCTGGCCATGTTGGCTCTCTTGATTTGGTGCAGAGATACAAACAAAAGATTGGCATTTTGAAAAATTATAGTTTTATTAGGACAAAGCCACACTAATTTGTTTAATTATCATCTGGCTGTTTTATGCTACAACGTCAGAATTGAGTAGTCGGACAGAAGCTGTATGGCTGCAAAGCCTAAAATATTTATTATCTGACCTTTTACAGAAAAAATTTGCCAGCCCCTAATATTGATGATTCATTCCACTCCCTTAATTTTATAAAATAATGTTCTCAGTAGTAGCCAAAATGGCTAGCCTCTTTGACAAATTTAATTCTGGTAAACTGTACTACTAAAATTTTCTTCAGTTGCTTTTTGTCACCTTTATAATCTTATTCTTTAATGGTCATTTTTTGGTTGTTTTTTTTCCCCTTTATGTGTTGTCTAATTTGGTAAATGATGTTTCATCAACCTGTGTAGAGTTTTGTTACCACAGTGATCAATTGTAAATGTATATAAAAATCATTCTTATTTGTGAAAAACAAAAGAATCCTCTTGGTGGCAAGACGTACACAATTCTTCTGGTACACTTTAAATGATGAAGATATTATTTTCACAGCTGTCTAACTAAATTTTACCTAACATGATTGTACCTTCACTCAGACCCAGTAAAATTTTTCAAACATTTCATTGAGTAGACTTCCATTTTTTCCTTTTGGCTTTATTTCTTATTATTGTACTAGAGTTTATTCCTTCTTCAGTAAACCTGAGCTACTTTGTACCGTATGTGTATAATTTGCACTGTAGATGGCAGTATATCATTTGTACTGGAATATGTCATTTCTGTAACATTGCCAAAAGTTTATCTAAGACCAAAAAAATACTTACTTTGTGAATTAAAAAAAACCTTTTTTTTTGGAAACTTAATTATAATTTGCAATTTATTTATCTGTGAAGAAATTTGGCACCTGGATTTGGGGAGAAAAGAAGGAAAAAAGCAAGATAGGAAACTAAAAGAAAAAGAAAGATTATTTTACACGGGCAAGGCAATGTGAGTAAAATGAACTCCTTGTCCATCTACATGGCTCAGTTTTTTCTATTTACCATCTGCGTTTTCCATTTAGGGGAAACCTTATCCATGGAAGACTCAAATTTAACATAGTTACATATTTTGGATTTTGAAAATCGATGTAGATGAACATTTATTTTATAAAACAGACACCTTTGAAGTGCTTATAAAAAGAAAGTAATTGGTTTATTGAAGATTTCATGCTTCTGTTACTACCTGAGAATGGAATGACTTCTGTCTAATTATAAAAACTATAATGCCAATATCTATATTTTTCCAAATTACTCTGTGCTCATAAGGATTTGCTTTTGTCCTATTAGTTAGTTGATCGTGTTTTTGATGAAAGCCTCAACTTCCGGAAGATCCCTCCATTAGTTCATTCTAAAACACCAGAAGGAAACAACTGTCGGTCTAGTGATCCAAGACCTCAACCAACAGAGCCTCCTGATCACTTAACTATTACAAGGCGGAGAACCTGGAGCAGGGATGAAGTGAGTAAACCATAAACTTTAACAAATGGCAAAGGAGGCATGCCCCATTGGTGGGAAAAAGATGAGAACTATTCAATATATAGGGCTGGGAAAAAAAGTGTTTGTCCTTATGGGTAGAATGGAATTTCATCCTGACATCACATCAAATACAAATAATTAACTCCAAATGAATTTAGTTCCTAAAAGGCAAAAGCAGAACTTTAAAATTTTTTAGTAAAATATAGGTAAATATCTTTCAACATTGCAGTAGGGAATGATTTCTTAAAAGGCACAAAAAGTTTTGACTTTAATAAAAGATTGATAAATTTGAGTATGTTAAAGGACTATGTGAAACATATAGGCAACAAGGGATTAGTATACAGAATATATCAGAACTCCTACAATCAATTTAAAAAGGCAAAAACAGCCCAGTAGAAAAATCTGCAAATAACATGCACAGCATTTCACTGAAAATACCCAGGGCCTATGAAGAGATGTTCAACTTCATGAGTGTTCAGAGAAATACTTTTCAAGACTACAGTGAGATTATTTTATACTCATTCAATTGGCAACAAATAAAAAAAGTCTTAAAATATTAAATGTTGGAGAAGATGTGGATACGTAAGATTTCTTATTGTTGCTAGTGAGGTTAAATTGGTCCAGTCACTTTGGCAAACAGCTTGACATTATTTCCTAAAGTTGAGCATAAACATAGTCCATTGTCTAGTAGTTTTGCTGCTAGTGCATACCCTTTCCCATTGAGAGCAAAAGTCATGCAAAAGGATATTTATAATAGCGGTGTGACAGTAACAAAACTTGGAAACAATCTAAGTGTTTATATCTGAAGAAAATTGAATGTATTAACTGGTATGTACACAAATTGAACAATTTATGGAGTAATCAAAACAAATGAACTACAGCAACATGCCACAATGTGGATGAATTTTAGCAATAGAACGTTTAATGAAAAAAGTAGGGCTTCCCTGGTGGCGCAGTGGTTGGGAGTCCGCCTGCTGATGCGGGGGGCACGGGTTCGTGACCCGGTCCGGGAGGGTCCCGCATGCCGCAGAGCGGCTGGGCCTGTGCGTCCGGGGCCTGTGCTCCGCGGCGGGAGGGGCCGCGGCAGTGAGAGGCCCACATACCATACACAAAATAAAAAAAGTAATTCTCAAAAGATTGTATATAATGTGTTTTGTCACAAATTAATAAAATAAAAATATATACTTAGGATAGAAATAGATCTAACAAATTATATAAAAAGGAAAGCAAGGGAATGATAAATGGGATTCAGGACATTGCTTACCTTGGGTGGAGGGAGACAGGGAGCTGCAATGGAAAAAACCTAGAGGTAGATTATAGCAGTTAGCTGTTTCTTTATAACAGACCACAAAAATCTCAGTGGCATAAAGCAATAGGCATTTATTTATCACACACCTGTGAGTTAACTGGTGGTACTGCTCAGCTGGGCAATTAAAAGTTGTAGGTTGAGTTTAGGTTTGCTCCATGTGTCTCTCTTGTTGCTAGGACCACATCTGTGGATTACTGGATATACGGAACTGGAGGTAAAAGCGTATAAGAATATATATGTTTGCAGTAGTACAGAGTAGAAAAAAATCTACCTGATGGAGAAGCACTGTAGCTAGTTCCATAGCTGCAATTATAATATGCTAGATGGTTTTAGAACACACTTTCTTTGTCCTGATAGTTGATAAGTTGTTCTTGCTTTCAGAGAAAGGGCCCATTCTCTAATCTTATTCATACTTACTGGTCCTGAGGTCTAGGAAGAAAAATTCCTCTAAATGTAATAAAACTATAGAAATTTATATTTTTAAAGAGAATGGAAACATTTAGATTGATAGTTATCTCATAGTTGATAATCAGAAAAAAATTTAATACATTGTGATACTGAACTCTATGACATAGAAAAGAGAGATATCCTTTCTATGTTATAATCTACCATAGACTACCCTGCCCTTTCTCACTCCTTCCTAATTAACATATGTCTTCTACTCTTATTTGGCCTTTTTTCTCAAGGCTCACAAAATACCACTATGCTTATTTAGCCTTTCATTGTCTTTATGTTGCTTTTCACACCCTAAGTTACCTTTTATCCCTCACTAAATTCAAATACTTATCATACTCAAGTTCTGGTTTTCCATGATACTTTCCTTATTAATGCCACCGCTCACTGAACTCCCTTTCATTAGAATTCGTAAAGCAGTGAATCCCAATTAGTACTTATTTACATTGTTTTTATAAAAATACTTAATAATATTTCCTGTATGTTGTTGTTATTTCCCCTACCAGTGTTTAAAGCACCTTAACATCCAAGGCCATATCTTATTTTCTGGGTTTTTTTTTACAGAGTCTAGATATAGTTCTGACAATGTAAGGAACTGATTTTAGAACCCATATCTAGTCCCAAGTTCAGTCCTTTTTCTAGCATTCCACACTAGCTGTGCCTTTCATGGTTTAGCTCTTGGCAAACTACAGGATGCTGGCCAAATTCAGCCTACCACCTGGTTTTGTAAATAAAGTCTTATTATGACACAGCTGCTTTTGCTATAATGTAGCTGCTTTTGCTATAATGAGGTGCATAGTTGTGACAGAGACCATATGGCCCCAGTCTTCACTCTCTGGCCCTTTACAGAAGTTTGCTAACCCTTGGTTTTGCCCATAAAGTTCAACTGGGGTGGTAACAACCCCCATCATTAAAACTTATTATTTTGAGTAAATTTTTAAAAATTATCTTTCCCACTGTGGAGAACAAGGATTATAATCTTCTTGATCTCTGTGTGCATATTATTTGGTGAATATTTGCCTACTATTTAATACTAGGAGACATGCCTTGAGTTTGGCTCAAGTACTCAGTGTAGTTGAAGGTGATATATAACTGTTATCATTTTGAATTTAATTCCACCAAAGGGATATCCTA